TCTATTTCCCTTGACTTTCCTCCTGTCCCTATCCCTATCTTATCTAGATAGATATGCAGAGACAATAATAAGCACAAAAACAAGACAGAAAGTAAAACAACTAATTAACAAAAAAAAAAAAAGAAAAGCCTATAAATAGTTCCAAGTCTGTTTGCTGACTTTTAGGAGTGGTTTCTGGTTGAGTCTGATGGGGTGGTGTCACACCTTGGCTCCAAAGTCCATTTTTGGTATTCCCCAGGGACTTCATTGCTTTGCTCCCCTTGCTGTTCTGTTGCATGCCCTTAGCGCCCCCCAACCTCCCCGCCGAACGGTGGGGTCAAATCAGGCACAATTCCCACAGTGTGCCTCCAGTGTCCCTGTAAGTACTAGCCCTGACACATTTCTCTTGTGATCAGGCTCATCCATTGAGCTCAATGGACCTAGTCAGTGTCCAGACAAATGCAGTCTTTCCTATTGAAGAAGCAATCCTTGTTAGAGAAGATCACTGGAAATGAACAAACAGTCTATCCACTTGTACAGCCTGCTTGTGAACAGCTGCCCTGGCCTCACTGGCCTCCTAACCAGTTCGTCCTGAGCTAAACTGGAACTGAGCATCCATATTTTCTTCTTTTGTCAGAAAGGCTAAAAGACTCATCAATACAATTAAAATTGCCTTACTGTCCACTCATGGACTGTTCTACAAGCTGTGCCATGTACTTAAGAGGTGGAGAGAAGGGAAAGACAGATTAACACAACTCCTGGGAGGGACTATAACGCTGCTATATGACTGCGGCTAGATATGGAAATAGAAAACGCGTTAGTACCATTTTTTAAGATAATGCAACATATTTTATGATGCATCACACGAGCAGCTTGTTATTCTGATAGTACATATACACACACGCAAGCAAAAACAACCTCTTACCCTTTCAAATAGTTCCATGCACTTTCATTATGGGGTACGAGTTTGATCATTTCCAGAGTATACCTGTGAGGAAAAAATACAAATATATGTATGACTTAGAAAAATCAGTGAAACATAAGTAGTTTGGCAAAATTGTCCTGCACCTTCAGTTGTGCTCTCACTTGTCTTAGTCTTCACTGAGCTCTCTCCCTGTTGCCTCGGCACCTCTCTGGGTGGTTCCTAAGTTACAGAATCCCTGGAGTCTGCACTGGAACATTCTTACACATTTCCTTTCCACTAAGAATTTGTATCTAGTTTTGAAAGATACTTAACCCAAAGGCTCAATTGACAACAGGAAAAAGTGAAGAACATGGAGGATGTTCTTTAATCGAGAGGCTCCCATTGAAGGGAGTGCAGGCTGCAACAAGGAGGCCGTCCTTCAATGGTCATGGAACCCTGCCGGGAAGTTCAAGGTCCACTTAGCGGCGAAAAGCCCTAGTTATTGACAAAGGACAAGTCCATAGAGCGAGCAACTATAAAAGAGTGGAAAATCAAATTACTTGAATCAGAAACGAAAGAAGGGACATTAGTACATCACATAGGAATATAAAGGAATGCTATGAGCAGTTGTGAAGTATATTGTTTAATTAAATCATTTTAATGGGAGCTCGTACAACTCTCACAATCCATACATCCATCCATTGTGCCAAGCACATTTGTACATTTGTTGCCATGTTAGATAATCTTTATAAAATGGACAAATACTTAGAAAGACACAGACTATCGAAACCAACTCACAAGGAAACTATCTAAACAGATCTATAAGAAGGAGAGAATGAACCAGTAATCTAGAAACGATGCAGTGCTTACAATGTTGGGTTGCTAACCCCAAGGTCAGCAGTTTGAAACCACATCTGCTTCGTAGAACGATGAAACCTCCTACTCCTGGAATACACTCAATGGCAGGGAGTCTCTCTCTCTCTCTTACACACACACACACACACACACACACACACACACTCAATGACAGGGAGTCTCTCTCTCACACACACACACATACAATGACAGGAAGTCACACACACTCAATGGCAGGGAGCCTCTCTCTCTCTCTCTCACACACACACATACACACTCACTCAACGGCAGGGAGTCTCTCTCTCACACACACTCAATGACGGGGAGACACCTCCACACCCCACACCCCCCAC